GTGAGTCCCACCAGAATCAAGTCTCAAAAAAATCTGAAAATGAATCATTTCTGAGAGAAATGGTGTGAAAAATGACCAGATTTAATTCAAGAACAGTGAAATGAGAGTAATTTTCCAGAATAAACTGTGAAAGATAATCATTCTTTCAAAATCAGAATGAGACTGAGGCTGAAGATCAAAATCAGTCTCATTTGATTCATTCAGTAATTGCTTATATAATCAGAATTTAGTAATGATTATTGATAACACTTATGAAATAACTAAATACATTCTTGTATAAGTTTATTCTTCACTTTCTTATGAAAACTACACTTCTCTGATATACTGTGATCAGAGATATTAAACTGTCTGATAATTTCATGTTTTCTAATCATGAGTTTCTTGATTATTTCTTCTTATAATTGTCCTCAGCAATAGTGATAAATATCTCAACTTGAGTTGAACTTTCACTTCATTCTCATCTCTGTCAATGAAATTGTCAGAATATCACACATCATCAGTGCAATAGTTGAATATATACTCTCAACAATTTTTCATAACTCTAGAATTGATTTAATGTGTAAATTTGTCAGATCATCTTGAAGATAGCAGTCAAATTCAGTTTTATAAGTATGTAGTTTTGCCTGATTTTCAGTTGTAATCAATGTATGCAAGTTCTGTTTCAAAGTTAGTATTATAGTTCTATATAATATAAAGTGTTATCAAAGATAATTACTTACTAGAGAATTGTATTTCACTGTCTTCATATCTTGAATATCTGCTCATTCAAATCTCTGATAGTTGACATTGTAGTAGTCTCAGGCTAATTTAATATATGAGTCTCATTCCTCCTCTGTTCAATCTTGAGAAGTGTAGATATTAACTTAATAGAAGAAATCTAGTAGAGCTGCTACAGTATAGTACTCTGTAAAAGATTGTTTCATTTTGCTGTAGTAATATACTAGTTTATTTCTTACAGCAATAATAGTCTGCACTATAGCATTATCTCAGACTGAATTTCTTTTTGAGTGATTCAACTGCTTCTCAAGATGAGTAAATAAACTGTTATACACTCATCAGACTGACTGCAGCATTGATGTATGAGTGATTAAGACTGTCTTTATTATCTTATAAAACTGAAACAGTAAATCAATCATATATTTCAACTAAGTTCACTTCATATCAGAAAGTTTCAATATCTGAATCTTTTTCTGATCAGAGTGTTACACTCAATAATCAATTATCTGACACAATTGAAGAGTCTGAATAATTATCTTATATATTGAACTTTACTGTATTCTAACATTCTGTATCATATTCAGTGATGTGACTGATTTGTTTATTTATTGAATATCATGAAATCATTGTTATTGTTTAGAAGAGATACAAATCATATTAGCAATGTTTCAAATTTATGATATTTAAATTATTAGTCAATCTATTCAAAATTAACAGTAGTGTTATCAAAAAGCATTATCAAAAAGCAATATTAAAAAGTGTTGTCAAAAAACATTATCTTTTATAAAGTGAATGTAAAAGTTACTTGAGTAATCACTTTCATCTCATTCTCATCTCAAGAACCAGCCATCTCATTATTCTTCATCTTAATATTAAGATTCTTTATCAGTGTTTATATTACAAGTTGAACTACATGAGCAATGCAGAGAATATGACCTTGTTTATCATTTCAGAAATGCAAAGTCAATTTTTACTTCAAGCTCTCTATTATAGTGTAGTTATTCACAGCATTGTCAGTTGTAATTATAAGAAGACTGAGACTAATATTTCAATAGTTATTTTTAATCACAGTCATTAATATCTCTGCTATATAATTCTCAGTATAACTACTGATCAATGATTTAAATTCAATTAATGTCTCTTGATAAGTTCAGTTCTCATCAATGTAATAATATATAACTCTTATAAATGTAAGATTATTTGTACTAGTTCATGCATTCACTGTGAGAGACACTCTTCAATAATTCTTCAACTCTGATTCTAGATATTGCATATTGACTTTGTAGTGTGTCTTGAGATTGTACTGAAGACAGAATCAATGTGAAATATGAAGATTTGAATTAAGTATTTGAAGAAGTGTTCAGAATTCAGAGTTTTCAATTCATCAAAGAGAAAGATTCAGAGATATACACATGCAAAGTAATTATTCATAAAAGTTATCAGATAAGAGTTATAAAATCAGAGTACTGATACAGAATCATTTTCATATAATTTTCTTCAAATTAGAAAGTTAGTGTTATCAAAAATCATTATCTAGTAGAGTAACTTATCAGCTCAGTAGTAATTTTCTGATTATTTTTCTTTTATTATCTGCATTCTGATAACTTCAGATATTAGGAAATTTCTTCACAGTTATGATCAGTTTATGATGAATGTTTCTGAATGAAGTTGCAGTGATTGTAGCAGAGAGATGACTCTTCAGTAATCTGTAATACAATCTATTAATAATTATTTCATAGTTCATCTCAATATTTGTGTTGAGTTTTTCATAAATTTCATGACCTGAAATCAGATGTGAAGAATAATTATTATTATTATTATTCTTCAATTATAGATGTATGCAGTCAGAGACTATGACATCTACCTGAGAATCTTTAGTTCTCAGGGTTTTTCCTATCTATAGAGTCAACTATTATACATTTATCAATTTCAAATATGCAAAATCAGAAAATTCCAGCCCAGAATATAAAAACTGTTTACAAATTGCAGTATTTCAACACCTTCTGATAGTTTGAAACCATTTGAAAATATTATGACAAAAGAAAAGAGAACATAGTCTTAAAGATAGACACATTAAATAGATAGAGAAAAGAACAGAAGAAAACAAGTACAGTAAAGAGAGACTATAACAAAACAAAATTATTAAAAGATGATGTATAGCTGTTTTAACAGACTATATCTAGTCAATTTCCACCTCTTCATATTCAGATACTTCTGAATTCAGCCATTTTCTTGTAGCTGCTCTAGTTTCTGATAGAAAGTCTATTAAGTATTTAGTTCCTGTCTCAGTTGAGAATAAGAACCTCATATTTAATTGATTTAAATCATACTTCTTCTTTAATCTGACTCTGAGACTATTGTATAATGCACAATGCATTACAATATGCTCAGGATTTTCATTCACATTGCAGAATGAGCACTCTGTTGAATCAAATCTATCATCAAATCTTTGTATATAAGATTTGAAATAACCATGTCCTAGTTTCAGCTGAATTATAGATGAGAATATTTTCTTTTTACATTTAATTGAACAAGATTTCCACTTTGGTTTTGTCTCAAATCTTGAATAATGTATACTCTTCTTTTGTTTCTGCCAGCTTTCATTCCACTTGTTTAAACAAGATTCTTTTATCTTTCTCTTTATGAAAGATCAGGACACTGTTTTTTGAATAGATCTGCTTAATTCTGAACCCTTTTTTGCAGCTGAATCAGCCAATTCATTGCCATGAATATTCATATAAGCAGGAATCCAATGCAGATGAATTATCAGTTTTGATATTCTTCTCTTTTGAATTTTCAAAACAGAGTTTAAAATCAGTTCAAGATTCATTTGATCATTATGAATCTGACTATTTCTAAGTCTTTTTAAAGCAGCTTGACTATCAGAGAATATCCATGCCTCTTTCAAATCATTTCCTCTTTTATGAGATTTTATTTCAATGAGTTTGAAAGCTTTCACTATTGCAAATAGTTCAGCATCAAAGACTTCAGATTCACTGCCTAAATTCCAGAAATCTGAGATAAAATTAATATTATCTTCAGTATAAGCAATGCCTGCGCCTAATGTATTCAAATTCTCATTTTTTGAGCCATCTGAGTAGATCAGAATAGAGTCTTTTATATTAATTGTAGAGATCTTCTTCAAATGCTGTTCATATTCTCTCTCTTTAGATAGTTCACTTATTTGTAAGTCTATGAGAGATTCCAGCTTTTCTCTCCAGAGAGATATCTTCTCATGATCAATTTTCTCAACATTTAATGAAGAAAATTGATTCTTAATAAGTGAACATAGTCTATACAGTTGAGAAGGCATTTTCTTTAAAGTATTATTCTCATTCCAATCAAGAAATCTATTTCAATCCAGTTCATTTCCTGAGTTAACTGGTGGAAATGAAGAAGAGACTCTTTCTCTGATTATATGATTTAAGCTCATCTTCATGACTCTCAGAGCATAGTTTATACAGGCCTTTTCAAATCGAATAGCAGGAGGTGGAATTGAAGCTTCAATTTCCATTGAATGTGAAGAATAAAGTAGTTATTCATTATAATTGAAAGAGAGCATTCTGTATTGAATTGTAAATAACATAGACTTTGTAATTCACAGTGATTTCTTGAAGAGTTTGTGAATCTTCAATAGAAGTAAAAGAAGTGAAAGAAGTGAATTCAGAAGATATGATAATAATTTGAGAAAGATGATAATTTATTTTCAATAACTGATCACTGATGTGTATAAGAAGAATTAATATAAGAGAAAATAATCTTGTTTCTTAGCTTAGTTATAATTTTAGTACTAACTAAGATTGAATATCATTAATATATAAAAGTAAATAAATAATCTTGATTAATCTCTATCATATTTCTTGAAATATATTAATATTGTGAAAGAGAGCATTACTAAATTACATTATCAGATAATATTATTAAAAATATATTAATATTGTGAATATCAATGTTGAAAAAATGTTGATACTTATACATTATAGTGATTTGTGAATCATAATAGTTAAATATATATATATATATATATATTGTTCCTGACTTGATTACAACTTGTACAATAATTTTTAAAAACTCAAAATTAATTTCAATTATTAATAATTATGAACTTACAACTAACTAATATAAAAAGAAAAAAACTTTTTCTACTTATTATCTTTCTTCTCTTTCTCATTCTTCTTATTATTCTTCACAATTCACTTTTCATTCTTCTTCTTCTTCTTCTTCTTATCTGAGATGATAATCATCTCAAAATCTCTCTCTGCTGCCTTCTCAGAGAAGAGTTCTCACTGCTCTCTTTCAGTCAGGTCAATCTGCATCTCAAAATCCTGCATTTCCTGGTCTGCTGTCTCAGGTTCCATCTCAGTGATAAGCAGATTGACATACTCAGAGAGCAGAGCTGTCTTCTCAATATTCTGAATCATAGAGTGTATTTGAGACCTGAACAAGGCCTCAATTCCCTTCTTCTCTGTCAGCTCCTGCTAATGAATTAGAGAACAGAAGTATTATCAAAAATCATTATCTCTCAATAAATAAAAAACTTACTAGTTTTGACTTCTTTGTCTTCTACTTCAATAATCTCTCAATCTTCTTCTGTTATTACTTATTTATAGTAACACTCTTCTTCTCTCTCTCTCTCTTTATCTTGATCTCAAATCATTCTCAGAACTTCTTCTGATCTCACTACTACTGCATGAGACTCTTTACTATCTTCTTCTTCAATCTCTTACAGACAGTGTTATCTGCATTATTTCTATACTTAGTTTAGTCTAAATCTATCAGAAGTATTACTTAAAATCATTATCATTCTACTCTCTTACAGAGTCTCTTCAAGGCATTATAACATGCCTTGCAATCTGTCTCTTCTTGCTTAAATACCTTCTTCTTCTCTTTCTTCAATCTGTGATGATACTCACGTGCCTTGATGATCTGCAGAACCACAGAATATTTGAAGAGAGATAACATGATTAATTTCAGTGAGTGTTAAAGAGAAGTGAAGGCAGAAGAGATGATCAGAAATAATATAATAATAATAATAATAATAATAATGATAATGATAATAATAATAATGATGATGAGAGTGATGATGTTGATAATAATGATGATAATGATGATGATGATAATAATGATAATGAAAGAAGAAGTGTATTGAAATATATTACTGACTTATCAAATATAAAGAGATAAAGAAAATATTAACAGCTTTCAGAGATATACAGAAACAGCTACAGTGTTGCATAGCAACATTATCTTTATTCAATGCATGCAGTGTTGATATTCTTTGTATACAGTTATTATATAATCTATATCAGAGATACATGCAGAAAACAGATCTTTGTTACTAGAGAGAATAATTACAGTGATTCTCTGTTTTCATATTATAAAGATAAGTTATTCTCATTTCTTTCTTCTCTCTTTTCTCTTCTTCTTCAACTCATCACTAAGTTCAAGCTGGTATGAAAACTATTAAAACACTCTTAGAAACTCTCAAATTAAAGAGTATAGACTAATCAAATTTTAAATACAGAAGAACTAAATTACATTCAACATTACTAATTATTCATCTCTCTTCAATAAAATCACAGTTGTATCTTTCTTTCTCCCCCCTCTCAAACAAAACATAGCCTGTGAAAAGTGAGTATCATATCAGATTATAATGATCAATACAGCCTCAGCATGCAGAGCTATATACACACAGTGCATGCTGAACTGAGAGACTGCATGAGTTGCAAATCAGCACCAGCATCTCAGAAGAAGTCATGCAGTATGAGAAAGCTGTAACTCTCAGTCACATGTGCAGAGAATGAATTATCACAGTAAGTGTATATACATTGCATAAAAGTAACACTTTTTAATAACACTCAGTCTCTGATATCATGAAAATAGAGTCTCTTCATGAGATCTGTTTTTATCAGAAGTTAGAGAATCTTATATTTCTCAAGATCATCTTCATCTATCTTGTCTGTGAAATTAATGAGAAGAATTATCAATTTCAGTATTCTGCTCTTGATATCATTCAAGTGACAGCAGAGTTCACTCTGATCACACTTTTTAAGTGTATATTTTCTAAATATTCATATTTATACAGATATATACTGATTATTTATTAGATGATATTAAGACAATAACTCATTATAACTGTGTTACTCTCACTGTAAGAAATACACAGTTAGTGATAAATATTATGAAGACTCTGAGAAGTAAGTATTTTAGAGATGCTGCAGCTCTGCAATCTTGATTTTTTTTATTTTTATTTTTTATTTTTTTCTTTTTCTTTTCTTTTTTTTCTTTCTCTTTTTTTTTTTGTTTATTCATTCTGATTTTTTCTTGTTTTTATTTTATTTTTTATTTTTGTTTTTTATTTTTTTTTTGTATTTTATATTTTTTTTATAATTAAAATTATATAAATTATGATCTGTGTTTAGAAAAGTAATAATATTTGATAACACTCTCTGTTGAATTTTCAACAAATGAGCACTATGTTATGATATTATGTAAGTGAGAAGTGATTTCATGATCTCATTTAATGTCATTCTCAATAATGAGATCAGAATGAAAATGTAACTAAGAATTTAAATATATTCTTTATTCAGAACTAGATTTTTATTTGAAAAGTGAATCTGAGATCTTTAATATTTGAAATAACATGATTTGAGATCAATGTGATGAACATAAACCATGATCAGAAGTAATGCTTTTAGGCAATATAATAACTGTAAAGTTTGATTCTGATCTTAGACACAGTCACATAATCAGTCTAGCTGTTGTAATATCTTTTGTATATATTCTTGATATTCTTTTCTGAATTCATTGATGAAGATGAGAATGTTATCTAGATAAGCAGATGCAAACTTATTAAGAAAATCTTAAAGTACTCAGTTAATATACTTCTGAAATGTACTGAGAGTGTTAGTCAGTTCAAAGAGTGTGACTATTCATTCAAAGAGATTATAATATGTTTGAAATACTGTAAGTTATTCATCTTCTTCAGTGATATAAATCTTATGAAATGTGATAATAATATCTAGTTTTATAAATTATCAAGCTCATCTGATCTGTGCTAGAGTTTCATTGATAAGAGATAAGAGATATTGATCTTTCTTTGTCAATCTGTTTAGGCCTCAGTAGTTCACACAGAATCAGAGTTCTTCATCTAGTTTCTTTACAAAGAGAATAGAGACTGTGATGAAAGAGTTACTAATATATATGAATTCTTTATTCAAGAGATCATTGAGTGTCTTTTGAAGAAGAAGAAGTTCATCTCAGAACATGTTATAAAGAGAGTCTTATAATAATTTGAGATTCTTATCATTCTTTTTCTCTAACTTGATACTGTGATTTACTTCAAAACCTTGTAAGAGAGATATATTTATAATATTATCTTATCAGAAGATATCTAGATATTCATAATATTATTGAGAAAGTTTTGTATGAGAATCTGTTATTGTAATATGAGATAACTTTTCTAGAGTCTTTTTAATATCAGTCAGACTGATGATATAGATTAATATATGATTCTGCTATCAGCAAATTTATCAGTGACTCTGTCAGTAATTTTAATGATGACTTCTTTTTCAGAGTATTTTATACATATTGACAGAGATCTGTGTCAGATTCATGATCTTGTGAATATCATCTTTGTGAACTCTATCATTGTTAGAGAATATCAAGCATCTATTTTAAGTGTTTAATAAGATGCCTTGTTCAGATAGCTAGACAAGTTCTAATATAAGATTGTAATCAAGATTATTAACTTTGTATGTATAGATATCTTCATGTTGATATTCTCTCACATCTATGATCAGCTTCACTATATAACAAGTACAAACATCTTTCAGATCATCAAATTCTGCAAGAAGTCAGAGTTTAGATAAAGAGATATACTGAAGATTATAATGTCTTATGACTGAAAATTTTATCATTGCATAGTGACATAGATCACTGTCTATCATAGTCTTCATATTATACATGTTATTAATCACAGTAGATATAAGAATCACATTCATTGTCATTTTCTCTTTAAATTATTATCATTCAATCTCTTCAAGCTTCTGTTTATGAATTTGAACAGAAGCTAATCTTTTCTCTGTTTCACTGAGACATTCTCATAGTTATTCTCTGAATCTTTCTCTAATATAATATGATTGATACAGACAGGCACTGATCTTTCTCTTGAGTGTGAAGATATATAGATTGATTGACAGTTGAAAGCAATGTGTTCTGATTGATTACAGTTAATACACACTTCATGTTAATATTAATCAGTGACTTCTTTGAGAGTGATCTCAGAGACTTGAAAGTCTGTTCAGATAGCAGAGACTCTTGCTTATGTGTAGATATTCAAGTCTACTCAATTCATAACATCTGCATCATTGTTATTTCTCAGTATGAGTGTATAAGTTACTGAGATGTAATATCTTCTGTCACTGTTCTGTATATTCTTGAGCTTGATAAGATAATCATTCATTGTCTGAAGCTGTGTGCAGAAGTCTTTATAAGTCTGATCTTTGTCTGCACTTATAAGAGTCTGTAAGAGTTTGAAAGTTAATATCTTCTTGAGTATGCTAATCTTCATTTAATTCTCTCAAGATTGATTATCTGCTTCTAGAATCTTGATGTTGAAGTCAGAAATGAATGTTTTAAGAGAAGTGTTTCTCTGTCAGATGCTCTGTAATTAATCTAATACTTTCTGTTGTATGACAGTGTCTTAGAACAGAATATCAAGATATTTCATGATATTATCAGATGTTTGTAATACTGATTTACATACTTTCATTTATGAATGAAACTTCTGTTTTATGTGATTCTTCAATTATTCATTGATATATCAATCTTAATTGATTAATGAACTGATGAAATCTTCATCTACACTCAGTTTTATAAGCATTTCCATTCTTCATAATGAGTAGAGAGTGAGATTAAAAGCATTAAAATATACAGAAGCATCTAAGTTTTCTTTCAGCACTTTTGTATTTAATTCTGTAAATATTGAAATTGTATGAGTTTCTTGTTATGATAATCATTGAATCTCTTCATATTGACATTATTAAGTTGCATGTATATCAGCTATTTATTATTATTATAGTTTTAACATTGCTCAGAGTCACTGTGGCACTGCATCTATACTCATATTCAAGAGTTTCATATTATTGTTAGATATGCTTATATTGATTGTCAGATGTATAATATCTATAAAATCTGAAGAAGTGTAATCATATTCTCATATATCTGAGTGTCAGAACTCTTAGATCTTTTACTGACATTCTCTTATAAGATCTTATTCTCTTTATAAGATCTTGTTACAGAGTCAGAGTAACTGATAAGTAAGCTTCTATCTGAGAACTCAGTGTTTACTTAACTGTTTAACTGTTTCTCTATTTCTTATATATTATTATGTGTTCAGATATCTCTCAATGAATAATCATTTTCTAATAAGAAGACAATGAATGTTTTTATAGTATAACAAGCCTACATCAAATAGATTGGTATAATATTATAGGTCTTATATAACAAAGATAAAAATGTTAGAGAAGAAAAGAAAGAGAAAGTGTGAGAATCAGTGATCAAGGTGGATATTTATACACATATGTGGTGGCATACGCGGTGGAGCTTCGGGGCGGAAGAATATACACGCGTTCGTAGCAGCCGAGGATCGGTGATCGAGAATGGCCGAGAATCGGAGCGTACGCGTTCGTGGCGGCCGAGGATCGGCGATCGAGAATGGCCGAGAATCGGAGCGTACGCGTTCGAGAATGAAGTGGTTGGAATCTGTGGAGTGTAACGGAATAGTCTATATGATTGATCGGGCGTAGCCCGCCACAAGAATCAAGATATCTACAGTCTGCAATCACTCTTTATAGTTATATAGAAAGATTCAGATTTATAATTCATAATTACTCTTTATTTACTAGAGTGATCTGACTGTTCTGCAGAATCATTTATAGTGTAAATAATTCTCTCTAGAG